TGTGGGCGTGAGCCACCTGCGGGCGTGGGTCTCCTTCGGAGAGGGCCACCTGCGGGCGTGGGCCACCTGCGGGCGTGGGCCACCTGCGGGCGTGAGCCACCTGCGGGCGTGGGTCTCCTGCGGGCGTGGGCCGCCTGCGGGCGTGAGCCACCTGCGGGCGTGGGTCTCCTGTGGAGTGAGCCACCTGCGGGCGTGAGCCACCCGCGGGCGTGGGTCTCCTGCGGCGTGGGCCACCTGCGGGCGTGGGCCACCTGCGGGCGTGGGCCACCTGCGGGCGTGGGTCTCCTGCGGAGTGTGCCACCTGCGGGCGTGAGCCACCTGCGGGCGTGGGTCTCCTGCGGAGTGTGCCACCTGCGGGCGTGGGTCTCCTTCGGAGAGGGCCACCTGCGGGCGTGGGCCACCTGCGGGCGTGAGCCACCTGCGGGCGTGAGCCACCTGCGGGCGTGGGTCTCTGTGGAGTGTGCCACCTGCGGGCGTGGGTCTCCTTCGGAGAGGGCCACCTGCGGGCGTGGGCCACCTGCGGGCGTGAGCCACCTGCGGGCGTGAGCCACCTGCGGGCGTGGGTCTCCTGCGGAGTGTGCCACCTGCGGGCGTGAGCCACCTGCGGGCGTGGGCCACCTGCGGGCGTGGGCCACCTGCGGGCGTGGGTTTCCTGCGGAGTGTGCCACCTGCGGGCGTGAGCCACCTGTGGGCGTGAGCCCCCTGCGGGCGTGGGTCTCCTGCGGAGTGGGCCACCTGCGGGGGTGGGCCACCTGCGGGCGTGGGCCACCTGCGGGCGTGAGCCACCTGCGGGCGTGAGCCACCTGCGGGCGTGAGCCACCTGCGGGCGTGGGTCTCCTGCGGAGTGGGCCACCTGCGGGCGTGGGTCACCTGCGGGCGTGGGCCACCTGCGGGCGTGAGCCACCTGCGGGCGTGAGCCACCTGCGGGCGTAGGTCTCCTGCGGAGTGGGCCACCTGCGGGCGTGGGCCACCTGGCGGCGGAGGAGTGAGGGGTGGGGCGGCGGAGGGGGGTGAGGGGTGGGCGGCAGGGGTGAGAGGTGGGCGGCGGAGGGGTGAGGTTGGGCGGCGGTGGGAGGGGTGAGAGGAGGGCGGCGGTGGAGTGAGGGGTGGGCGGGTAGGTTAGAGGGGAGGGGGGTGGGCAGCGGAGGGGTGAGGGTGGGCAGGGGGGGGATGAGGGTGGGTTTGGGAGGATGAGGGTGGGCGGCGGAGGGGTGAGGGTTGGCGGGGGAGGGGATGAGGGTGGGCGCGGGAGGGGTGAGGGTGACCGGGGAGGGGGTGAGGGTGGGCGGGGGAGGAGGGGTGAGGGTGGGCGGTAGGGGAGGGTTGAGGGGTGGGCGGGGAAGGGGTGAGGGTGGGAGAGGCGGGGTGAAGGTGGGCAGGGGGATAGGGGTGAGGGGGAGGGGGGAGGGGGTGAGGTGGGCGGTGGAGGGGTTAGGTTAGGCGGGGGGGGGGTGAGGGCTTGCGGCGGAGGGGTGAGGGTGGGCGGGGGAGGGGTGAGATGGGCGTAGAGGGGTGAGGTAGGGGGGCGGGGTGGGGGTGGGGGGGGGTGAGGTGAGGGCTTGCGGCGGAGGGGTGAGGGTGGGCGGGGGAGGGGTGAGGGGGGCGGGGAGGGGGTGAGGGTTGGTGGGGGAGGGGTGAGGGTGGCGGTGGAGGGGTAAGGTTAGGGGGGCGGGGTGAGGGTTTGCGGCGGAGGGGGGTGAGGGTGGGCGGGGGAGGAGGTGAGGGTGGGCGGTAGGGGGTGAGGTTAGGCGGGGCGGGGGAGAGGGTGAGGTGGGCGGGGGGGGGTGAGGGTGGAGCGGCGGTAGGGGTTAGTTTGGGCGGGGGGAGTGACTGAGAGTGGGCGAGGGGAGGGGTCAGGGTGGGCGGGGGAGGGGTGAGGGTGGGTGGGGGAGGGGGGAGGGTGTGCGGTGGCGGGGGGGGGGGGGTGAGTGTGGGCGGGGGAGGGGTGAGGGTGGGCGAGGGAGGGGTGAGGGGTGGGCCTTGGGGGGTGGAGGGTGGGCGGGGGAGGGAGGGGGGGGAGGGGGGTGAGGGTGGGCGGGGGAGGGGTGGAGTGGGCGGGGGAGGGGTGAGTGGGGCGGGGGAGGGGTGAGGGTTTGCGGGGGGGGGGTGAGGGTGGGCGGGGGGGGGGTGAGGGTGGGCTTGGGGGGGTGAGGGTGGGCGAGGGGGAGGGGTGAGGGTGGGCGGGGGAGGGGGTGAGGGTGGGCGGGGGAGGGGTGAGGGTGGGCGAGGGAGGGGTGAGGGTGGGCGGGGGGGGGGGTGAGGGTGGGTCAGGGAGGGGGGTTTGGGCGGGGGGGGGGTGAGGGTGGACGGGGGAGAGGGTGAGGGTGGGCGAGGGGGGTGAGGGTGGGCGAGGGAGGGGTGAGGGTGGGGCGGGGGGAGGGGTGAGGGGTGGGCGGGGGAGGGTGTGAGTGAGCGGAGGAGGGGTGTGGGTGGGCGGGGGAGGGGTGAGGGTTGCGGTGGGGGGGTGAGGGTGGTCGGGGGAGGGGTGAGGTTCGGCGGTGGGGGGGTGAGGGTGGGCGAGGGAGGGGTGAGGGTGGGCGGGGGAGGGGTGAGGGTGGGAGAGGGAGGGGTGAGGGTGGTCGGGGGAGGGGTGAGGGTGGGCGGGGGAGGGGTGAGGGTTTCCGGTGGGGGGGTGAGGGTGGGCAGGGGAGGGGTGAGGGTGGGCGGTTGGTGGGGTGAGGGTGGGCGAGGGAGGGGTGAGGATGGGCGGGGAGGGGTGAGGGTGGACGGGGGAGGGGTGAGGGTTGGCGGTGGGGGGGGTAAGGGTGGGTGGGGAGGGGTGAGGGTGAGCGGTGAGGGTGGGCGAGGGAGGGCGGGGGAGGGGTGAGGGTGGGCGGGGGAGGGGTGTGGGTGGGCGGTTGAGGGGTGAGGGCGGGCGGGGGAGGGGTGTGGGTGGGCGGTTGAGGGGTGAGGGCGGGCGGGGGAGGGGTGAGGGTGGGCGAAGGAGGGGTGAGGGTGGACGGGGGAGGGGGGTGAGGGTGGGCGGGGGAGGGGTGAGGGCGGGCGGTGAAGGGCTGAGGGTGGGCGGGGGAAGGGTGAGGGCGGGCGGGGGAGGGGGTGAGGGCGGGCGGGGGAGGGGTGAGGGTGGGCGGGGGGAGGGGTGAGGGTGGGCGAGGGAGGGGTGAGGGTGGGCTGGGGAGGGGTGAGGGTGGGCGGGGGAGGGGTGAGGGTGGGCGGGGGAGGGGTGAGGGTGGGCGCCCCACTCTGTATGCACGTCATGGGGTGCCCCCCCCCCCCCCCCGCATAATGAGTGGCTGCCTGGTGCTGGACTTGAGACTCCCGCCCACAACCTCCTGCTACTCTGCCGCCGCCCACCGGCCCGCCCCCGCCGCCCACCGCCCTCACCTTTCATCAAGACGCCCTACATTAGACAAACATTATCTGAGTACCACACAGCAGTAAGTAGGTGGAAGTTGGGTGGAGGCTGGGCGGAGGCTGGGTGGCACCCACTCTGGCCTCTGGTCACAGTGCCACGATGGGTGTCGAGGGCCATGGGCGGCCAAGCTGCTGATAGGGTCTCCTGCAGGACCACCCTAGTGCCCGCCACCCGCCACCCACCACCCGCCACACGCCACCCACCATCGCCTCCCACTGCCCTGTAATCGCAGGCACCAGACCGCCTAGAAAGCTCGCTGCCCACCCACCGACAAGTCCAGCCACCCACCGTCAAGTCCAGCCACCCACCGCCAAGTCCAGCCACCAACCGCCAAGTCCAGCCACCCACCGCCATGTCCAACCACCCACCTCCATGTCCAGCCACCCACCACCACGTCCAGCCACCCACCGACAAGTCCAGCCACCCACCGTCAAGTCCAGCCACCCACCGCCAAGTCTAGCCACCAACCGCCAAGTCCAGCCACCCACCGCCATGTCCAACCACCCACCTCCATGTCCAGCCACCCACCACCACGTCCAGCCACCCACTGCCAAGTCCAGCCACCCACTGCCAAGTTCAGCCACCCACTGCCAAGTTCAGCCACCCACTGCCAAGTTCAGCCACCCACCATCAAGTCCAGCCACCCACCGCCAAGTCCAGCCACCCACTGCCAAGTCCAGCTACCCATCCCCAAGTCCAGCCACCCACCGCCAAGTCCAGCCACCCACTGCCAAGTCCAGGCACCCATCCCCAAGTCCAACCACCCACCGCCAAGTCCAGCCACCCACTGCCAAGTCTAGGCACCCATTCCCAAGTCCAGCCACCCACCGCCAAGTCCAGCCACCCACTGCCAAGTCCAGGCACCCATCCCCAAGTCCAGCCACCCACCGCCATGTCCAGCCACCCACTGCCAAGTCCAGCCACCCACTGCCAAGTCCAGCCACCCACCGCCAAGTCCAGCCACCCACCGCCAAGTCCAGCCACCCACCGCCATGTCCAGCCACCCACTGCCAAGTCCAGGCACCCATCCCCATGTCCAGCCACCCACCGCCAAGTCCAGCCGCCCACTGCCAAGTCCAGCCACCCACTGCCATGTCCAGCCACCCACTGCCAAGTCCAGCCACCCACTGCCAAGTCCAGCCACCCACTGCCAAGTCCAGCCACCCACTGCCAAGTCCAGCCACCCACCGCCAAGTCCAGCCACCCACTGCCACGTCCAGCCACCCACCGCCAAGTTCAGCCACCCACTGCCAAGTCCAGCCACCCACCGCCAAGTCCAGCCACCCACCGCCAAATTCCAGCCACCCACCGCCAAGTCCAGCCCCCACTGCCAAGTCCAGCCACCCACTGCAAAGTCCAGCCACCCACCGCCAAGTCCAGCCACCCACCGCCAAGTCCAGCCACCTACTGCCAAGTCCAGCCACCCACTGCCAAGTCCAGTCACCCACCGCCAAGTCCAGCCACCCACTGCCAAGTCCAGCCACCCACTGCCAAGTCCAGCCACCCACCGCCAAGTCCAGCCACCCACTGCCAAGTCCAGCCACCCACTGCCAAGTCCAGCCACCCACCGCCAAGTCCAGCCACCCACTGCCAAGTCCAGGCACCCATCCCCAAGTCCAACCACCCACCGCCAAGTCCAGCCACCCAATGCCAAGTCCAGGCACCCATTCCCAAGTCCAGCCACCCACTGCCAAGTCCAGGCACCCATCCCCAAGTCCAGCCACCCACCGCCATGTCCAGCCACCCACTGCCAAGTCCAGCCACCCACTGCCAAGTCCAGCCAACCACCGCCAAGTCCAGCCACCCACCGCCAAGTCCAGCCACCCACCGCCATGTCCAGCCACCCACTGCCAAGTCCAGGCACCCATCCCCAAGTCCAGCCACCCACTGCCAAGTCCAGCCACCCACCGCCAAGTCCAGCCACCACTGCCACCGCCAAGTCCTGCCACCCACCGTCACTCCCCAAGTCCTGCCACCCACTGCCAAGTCCAGCCACCCACTGCCAAAGTCCAGTCACCCACCGCCAAGTCCAGCCACCCACTGCCAAGTCCAGCCACCCACTGCCAAGCCACCCACTGCCAAGTCCAGCCACCCACAACCCACTGCCAAGTCCAGCCACCCAGTGCCAAGTCCAGCCACCCACCGCCAAGTCCAGCCACCCACCGCCAAGTCCAGCCACCCACCGCCAAGTCCAGCCACCCACTGCCAAGTCCAGCCACTCACTGCCAAGTCCAGCCACCCACCGCCAAGTTCAGCCACCCACCGCCAAGTCCAGCCACCCACTGCCAAGTCCAGCCACCCACTGCCAAGTCCAGCCACCCACTGCCAAGTCCAGTCACCCACTGCCAAGTCCAGCCACCCACTGCCAAGTCCAGCCACCCACTGCCAAGTCCAGCCACCCACTGCCAAGTCCAGCCACTCACTGCCAAGTCCAGCCACGCCATATGATATGACCACACCCACTAGGGTGTCTCAGGCCGCCGCCCACTAAGAGTGTTCCACGAACCCCCCCTCCCCCCCCCCGGGAACCATAAGAGGAGCAAGCCTCACCCTAGCGAGCCACCCATGCCAAGTCCAGCAACTCACTGCCATGGAGCAGAGGAACCATAAGAGCAGCAAGCCTCACCTAGCGACCTATGGAGAGCAGAGGGACCATAAGAGGAGCAAGCCTCACCCTAGCGACCTATGGAGCAGAGGGACCATAAGAGCAGCAAGCCTCACCCTAGCGACCTATGGAGCAGAGGAACCATAAGAGCAGCAAGCCTCACCCTAGCGACCTATGGAGCAGAGGGACCATAAGAGCAGCAAGCCTCACCCTAGCGACCTATGGAGCAGAGGAACCATAAGAGCAGCAAGCCTCACCCTAGCGACCTATGGAGCAGAGGAACCATAAGAGGAGCAAGCCTCACCCTAGCGACCTATGGAGCAGAGGGACCATAAGAGGAGCAAGCCTCACCCTAGCGACCTATGGAGCAGAGGAACCATAAGAGGAGCAAGCCTCACCCTAGCGACCTATGGAGCAGAGGAACCATAAGAGCAGCAAGCCTCACCCTAGCGACCTATGGAGCAGAGGAACCATAAGAGGAGCAAGCCTCACCCTAGCGACCTATGGAGCAGAGGGACCATAAGAGCAGCAAGCCTCACCCTAGCGACCTATGGAGCAGAGGAACCATAAGAGGAGCAAGCCTCACCCTAGCGACCTATGGAGCAGAGGAACCATAAGAGGAGCAAGCCTCGCCCATAGCGACTATGGAGCAGAGGAACCATAAGAGCAGCAAGCCTCACCCTAGCGACCTATGGAGCAGAGAACGAACCATAAGAGCAGCAAGCCTAACAACCAGCGACATGGAGCCAAGGGAGACCATAAGAGGCAGCAAGCCTCACCCTAGAGACCTATGGAGCAGAGGAACCATAAGAGGAGCAAGCCTCACCCTAGCGACTTTATGGAGACAGGAGAGGAAACCATAAGAGGAGCAAAGCCTCACCCTAGCGACATCTGGAGCAGAGGAACCAGAAGAGGAGCAAGCCAATATTACCCTAGCGACCTCGGAAGCAGAGGAACATATAAGAGAGACAAGGAGAACCCTAGCGACCTATTATCCGGAGGAATCAATAAGAGGAGCAAGCCTCAAGAGAGACAAGAACAGAAAACACATATTATCCAAGAGAGACAAGGAGAACAGAAACACATATTATCCAAGAGAGACAAGGAGAACAAAACACACTATTATCCAAGAGAGACAAGGAGAACAGAAACACATATTATCCAAGAGAGACAAGGAGAACAGAAACACATATTATCCAAGAGAGACAAGGAGAACAGAAACACATATTATCCAAGAGAGACAAGGAGAACAGAAACACATATTATCCAAGAGAGACAAGGAGAACAAAAGGCCATCAGTGAAACACATATTATCCAAGAGAGACAAGGAGAACAGAAACACATATTATCCAAGAGAGACAAGGAGAACAGAAACACATATTATCCAAGAGAGACAAGGAGAACAGAAAAAACAAATATTATCCAAGAGAGACAAGGAGAACAGAAACACATATTATCCAAGAGAGACAAGGAGAACAGAAACACAGATTATCCAAAGAGAGACAAGGAGAACAGAAAC